TTTCACTTGTTATTTAAATAAACGTTATTTTTAACGACAGTGTGAATCTGTGTTTTACATTACGGAGAAACTTTAGTTACAAAAATATTAAAAAGTAGGAAGGACCGGAAAGCTGCCTTGTCCTAGTACGAAAACCAGTAGTAGTGAAAAATAACGATACTTCATCGATGACTGGATACAGGATCTCTCGTTCCTGGTGCAAGCACATGTTGATATGACCTCACAGAGAATACGAAATCAAGAATTAATGGGTAGCTGTCAGTTCTCAGTTTAACCGTTCATATTGGTAACATCCAGATAGATAGATAGATAGATAGATAGATAGATAGATAGATAGATAGATAAATAAATAAATAAATAGATAGATAAATAAATAGACAAATAGATAGATAGGTAGATAGATAATGTAGGATAACTAAAGTGTCTGTTGGTACTTAACAACCTGTTATAAATTATTTTTACTACATGCATCACAAACTGACGCAAATGACAAATATTCAGTCCAGCGTTCAAGCATAATCGTAGTGACCATGGAACCTCACCCAATGCGGGTTCATGGATGAGTTATTATTACTCAGATGTCCTCCATTAGTTTGCCAGATGATTTCAGTATGTGAAGACAAAGTCAAAAATGTAAAGCTTGACTGCATGGATGACTTTATGTGATTTATAAAACGACCTGGATAAATTCTCGACTACCTCCAGTCAATGCCAGACTCAAGAGTGTTCTTATGGGTGTTCTGGTCCACGATGTGACCGTGGGTTCGAATCCCACTTCCGACACTGACTGACCTCCAGTCAATCAGTGCTTGTTCTGCCCTTGTACTAAGAGCTATGCTTAAACACTCTAGTTCACGAGAACCAACCATCTGTTCGCCAGATACACGGAGGGCATATCTCCTCCGCTCCCGTTTTCGCGAGGTGAGGTCAAGTGAATAACCACACTAGGATCCTGTATGCGTGTTTCGAAGACACAGGACATATCAATGGTACGATATTCTAGGGTCTTCGCCAAGGAGACCTGATGGCAGATTTGATATAAGGTGCGTACATTCATGGCTTCAACGTGTAGTTTGGAGCGAGGTTTCAGTAGACTTGGGATAAAATTTTGCGCACTAGAATCGTTGGCCATGGTGATACTTGAGAAAGAAGTCAAAATTAGAAGTTTAGTGTTGAAAGTCGAGGTAGGAGGAATAATAGGAATTGAAGAGGGAGATTGATTATGAATATAGTGGTCTTGAATGCTGTTAGAGGTATGAGGGAGGTTATCACTCACCGGTTGCGCACACTGTGGGAGGGTTCTTCTGGAAGTGCCTGAAAAAGAAATTGGGTTGGTGGTAGTCTTAGCGACTTAAGGGTGTGACCGCAATGCCCAAGTGACAACTGCTTGAGGTCAGTCACACACGACCTTTTCTTGAGTAATTTTCGTGTTAGCTCTTTACTTGTTGGGACCCTACCGCTGAAGACGAATATCCGTGGGATAAGGCGAGGTGTGCATTTTTAGTGTAGACCGTTCCCAACCCCACCCCTCCTTGTGGGAAGTCAGCATCTCTGTTATGCTAGTCGTCTGAAGGAAACACCTTACTGACGTCACACTCCTGTACAGTCAGCAGTAAGACTTCGCACTCAGACCTTGGGTTTGCTACTTTTAATTCTAAAGCTCTTCAACCAACCTGTCTTGTATGGTGGGACCTTTATGAACGACTGTTTCAGCCAGTATATCCCGATTGGTTCATCACGATAGGCAAGCCCGATCACCACATCAAGGTAGCAACCAAATGGCTTGCTCTCGTGGACTGGAGGCTGTAGGCGTAGCACTAAGTACAAGGGCCGAACAAGCACTATTAAAATGGATCCCCGTCAACAGTCGCATATGTGTTGTTCGGCTAAACAGTTCCGTAAGATCTCGGAAGGATATGGTCACACGTCGTTGGCTTTTCGTCGTTTCTGCCTACTCTCTCACTGACTACATCATGGATGAAGTGGAAGATGACTTTTACAGAAAGCTTTCTGAACTTCTTCAGAAAGTTAAACACTCAAACGTAGTACTCGCAGTAGTAGGTGACGTTAATGCTCAGGTAGGTAGCTTGACAATTGTATACTTAGTCTAAGCTCAAATCGCAATGTGCTGATCGATCTGTTTTAGATCAATCAGTACTACTGGATGGATTGACAATATACTAAAAGTTTCTTTTATCAGTTTTATATAGACGTTTGTGTTTTTACTGGTAACGAACACATCATTGCCCCAGTTATTTATGATACATGCATGCCTTCTCTTTCTATTTTCCTTGAGACAAGTTGAGTGAAACAAATTAGTAATGTAGCACAAGACAAGCAAGCACTTGATGTATCCAAATTAATCTTTACATGAATATATATTTAAAATAACCTTTCAAAATTGACCGAATCCCCTTCTTTTTAATTATTCCAGCTCAATTAAAAATACTGAATATTTTAGATCCCTCGTACCAAATGCAAATCACTTGTCTGCAAAATATGATATCACTATGGAAAACAGTGCGAAAATTAATCGCTTCCAAACCCCGAATTGTATATTGTGTGTGCGTTAAATACCTGTTAAAAAACAAAGTTAAAGAGAATGTACGATATGAAACAGATGAATAATAAATAGATCACAACTTTTTCTATATGTCCCAAATTATCACACGACTGTATCGTGTGGTAAAGCATCAGCAACTAAAAAAAAATATATTGACGTCACTGGTTTGAAATTAGACAGATAGTTAATTTTTCTGCTTGGCGCTTTTTAGCTAAGTTCTTTTTATGGAAAGGGACTGCTAACCCCATGTCCAAGTTTCCTACTTTATCTGGGCCAAACAGAATAAATCAGAATTCAATAGGGTACAAAGTAAAAACTGTCAACATTGAAAAATTTGAAATAAAACATCGAAATATTAGTACAATTGGGATAAGTACATCATCATAGCAAATCTACGCAACTTATCACAGTAATCACGTCAACAAACTACTGGATAATAGAAAGTAAGATCACTAACAGACAAATAAGTTCAAGGTATGAAGATTGAAAGTTTAAAAGAAACTACTTAACACCATATTTGTCAATACGCTTCATTCATGCATCAAAACATTTTTATTAGCCCACTTACTGTGAGGAGAGATGCTTAAAAAGTAATGAAGATCCCAAGTATGGCCTATACTGAAGTTAATGGCGTACAGTCTTGAGGAAACTCAGGTTGGTAATAGGACAGCTGTCTATCACTCCCTGTTTTTTAAATTATTTTCCAGATAAACTAATCCTTGCAATTAGTTTCACATTGCTCTTTGTGCTCGATATAAAGTTCAGTAAGAGCGAAATATTGGGACTATGTATCTTTTGTTTTAATAAAGCAGAGATTACAGTTTGATAAATAAAATTGTATGGTCTCAATAACCACTTCATAGAAAATACAAAGATCTACATGCAATGTCTTAGAATCTTATTCACTTATCGGCGAGACAATAATCTGTGAACGAACCAATCAGATTTAGGATATCAGGTCTTGGATTTTGGCGCGGAATTCATTTATCCATCTGGTTAAAGAGCGTTTTGGCATTTTAGTTGATGTCAGTTTGCAATGAAAACCCCTATTTTAATTCCTAACCCTAACCATTAACGGCAAATCATAATCCTTATTCTTCACACAGGTTTATAACTCTTATTTGACCCTAGTAAGTGGGTAGACATTCTCAGGGCCACCTTAGCATCGCTTAAACGTCGTCCATAATTTATAGCCTCATCCATTTAACTGATCGTTTCATCCTACTATTTACTAATAACTGTAAAACATGAGTGTGAAATCAATATTAAAATTTGTGTAATAAATTAAAAATAAAAACACATATGCATGTGAATGTGATAGAATAATTTTTATTATGCTCTCTCGAAATGAAAAAAACACATCGGTTGGCATTGGATAGCTGTTTAGTTCTAATTTCCTATCTATACCCAATCTTCACTAACAAATTACCACGAGTGATAGGAACAACTTTAAAAACCATTATTAAGAATTCCGAGGGTTCGTATATTTATTTGAAATGTTGGTATTTTCTCGTTGGTGATATTAAGGACTGAAACTGATCAGTATCAGCTGTCATATATATTAAGTGAACCACCTCAGTGTTGCTACTTAGTAATAATTTTTTAGTAATAATGGATAGTGGCCTTCAGTGGAATGCAGGATGCGCGTTTCGTTCTGCATACGACTCATCAGTCGGATGTAACTTTATCCAAGTCCTGATATTTGCACTGAAGTTCGAAACTGGTATCTTTCGCTTCAAATACTCAACTCGTTATCTACTGAGTCATTTTACGTGAAACCGATGAAAGTTATTCATTCTTTAATCACTCGCAAAAAGAACTCGAAAGTATTTTTCTTCATGCTTATTAGCTCGTCCCACTGCCATATATCATGAGTAAGCATTTTGCGTAAATCTTTTCTTACACCATCTCACATTCACTGTATACTAAAGCAGCAAGCTTTTTCTTTCTAGTTCAAAGGAATGGATCTCTAAATTATGGTATCTTTTACTAAGATATTCATAGGGTGAATACAAACTGAAGTTACATTTCTCATTTCACGTTAAATTCTAAAACTCATGATCTAGATTCTGGTTGGCTTAACAGGTTTTCATATAGTTTCACTATGGCTCGATTTCTCAACATTTTATTGTTCAATTTAAACACACATACTACTAATATGATTTGTTCCTTCTCTCTAAAAATTCCTCTTGTTCAAATTGTGCAGAATAAATTTGATTGGTTGCGAAGTAATTTCGAATCAACTAATAGTTAATCAATCATATTATTAGTTTGCAAATCTACACATAGATTGCGTGCTAAATTAAGGAATTAAGAAAAAGAGTTTTTGATAAATAAAAAAAGCAACAACAACATAAATTTACATGTTACCTTTTTGTTCATTTTAAAGATTATTTATTCATTCATTTAAACATTTAGGCATTAAGCATTGGATGTATTTGTTCTTGTCATTTCTACCTATTGTAGCTTGAATAATAAAACAAGATTAAATAGTGGATCAATCAATTGTGAAAATTTTTCCGGTGAAATTCATAATATTTAAAGAAGATAACCCCTTTGTGTTATCAGTCCCTATTCTTAACAAACAAACAAAATAATCATGTCCATAAGAACACCTTATGAACATTTACGTACATTTTGCTTACAGTTATCAAAATATATTCCAGAAATTCAATTACAACCACCGCATACAATTAAAAATTACGGAAATTGTCCATATTTTTATAAATTTCGTCTTGGGACAAAAGACTTGGTTGAAAAGTTCAATGGTGATATATTACCATCGTCTAATAATACTTATAGACTTTCAAATATACCGAGAGAATCGATTGGCACACGTTCAGACGTGATGAAATCACAAGATTTTCAGTGGTTAATGAATAAAAAGTTAACATGTGTTTTATTATGGCTAGGTGTAATCATTTTAATTGTTGGAGTAATTGCATTACAGATTGCTAGTTTTTTCTTACATAAACGACAGTAAGTTTTCCATGTTATTAACTCTTATTATAACCATGTGATATTTATTTACATTCTCAAAATGTATGATGACTATAGAGAAAACAATAAACATATATTGCATTCTTGGGTAAGATTAGTAGTATAGTAGCGAGCTACAGTGTAACGCTCAGCCATTGCAAGGTTTTACTTTAACCTGAAAATAGCTTATGTGCTTGGAGAGTGTTAGAAAAAAGGTGAGCCGATGACTCAATGAACGCGTAGAGTGTATTTAAATTGAAGAAAAAGCAATAATCAGTTATAACACAAGCGTGAGATTATGACAAACTGTTGATCGAAACTAGAACTTGATAGTGTAAGGTTTCGAATACGATACAACAGTGATTCTTGAAATAACTCCGATTGGTGTAAGCAGATTAATAGCGAATTAGAAAACCGTCCTTTTAGATTGTTGGTGGAAACGACAATAGTATGATAACGAAATGTTAACAAATTTTGCATGATTATTCAAACTATTGACGTATTCTACCAGTTGTTTTGCTTGGAAATCGAAAAGAAAGTGGCATAAATTTTCATATAATCAGCTATAGAGCATTTCTAATTAGGGTTAAGGATTTAATTTCACTGAATGTCTTTAGTTATCTCCGCAGTTATTTTAACTGGCTTGCGTTTGAGAGTGAGACTTGGAATCAGATGAGGCGTAATGAAAACCAAACAAAGTCTGGTGTTATCCATTTATTTAACTCCTAGATAAATCAAAATGATCGGGAATACACTCATTTATACATTGATTTTATTCATATTTGATGGTTAGTCAACAACTTTCATGCGTAGGGGGAAACAGACAGGATTACTACAAAACCCAAGTTACATATCATACTGAACGAATTTCATTCTGAACTAATACAAAAAGTATCATCTTGAGACCGCTTTGAATGAAGATCACACTGAAATCAATCAATTTTACATTGAAAAAAAATATTATACTGGAAATAAAACAAATATTACACTGAGTAACCAGAATATTGAATTACAAAAGGAAGTAATGTTGGGTGAGAATCACAATGAGCTAAAAGCATAATTTTACCTTTTCATTCTGTAATAGAAGTGTCTAGAGTTGGGATTTTCATCTTGAACTAATATCATTTATCATGTAGAAAACTTTCTAGCCCTTATGGATGAAAACGTTTCCCACCGAAACCCAAGATGCACTATCTTAGGTTTGATTAATTTGTTCATAAAATGTAATCTCCCACAGTGTTTCAGGTTTAGTTCACGAAAAAGGACTAAGATTTATCGATAGTGTCTATTTTAATGTTCTATACAGTTTGCGTAGAACAAATTGAGCTTCCGATATATTTAATACTGTTGTTCATACTCGATGATGACAAAAAATAAGTCTTCCTTTTCATCTTAGACATTCTGAACACTGTATTTCTATCACAAACTTTATGTAATGAGAGATAGAAGTTATCCAATCTCTAATTTCGCACAACCTTTCCCCATAATATGTTTTTACTAATTCTAGTTTCCTACTCCTTAACAGTGTCTTTTATGTTATCATTCACCGAGTGAAATAAGACTCAGTAGTGTAGATATATTTAGTTCTGTTAACTGTCAGATTGATTTAAAATTCATTTTATTGACAGCCATTTATTGTGTGACGATTACCAACTTGGTTGGTTGTATAAGCTGTAGAGGCTGAAGTTAACCACGATGTATTCGAGTATGGCAGCCCCAGTACTTTTGGTCACTTCCCCTTTCACTAATTAGGCGAAAGCTGCATATTAGAGTGTACCTTTCAACAGAGATTTTATTTTAGGCCCTAACGTTCATTGTACTTGTGTTTTTCGCATGAGGTGACGCGCTACACTTCTATGAACACGTTAATATCAGACAGTTTCAGATAACTCTAGCCACATGAAACGAAATCTTAAATGAAAGGTTAAGGATCCAGTCGACTATCACAACCAGTGGTTCGAGACATTATTTGACATAGCTTAGAATCTCTCACAGTCAAACAGATGCATTCATTCTTTATCTTACTTTAGAAAATAAGTTCCGAAATCTTCATACACCTTTTTATTCTGTTTATATTTAATCGTTTCCCCTACAAGTAGTGATAATATTGCTACTTCTACTATTGTGTCTTGATTTTACTTGGTAATTTCACCCTTCTGTTATGAGATGTGGTAACGTGTACCGATACATATCGATGGTAATTCTACATTACATACGATTTACTGACTGATATTATAAAAAAAGTATTGCGTTAAACTCACTTTACTCATAGTTCGTTGGTTCACACAGTGACTTGGATTATTCAATGGTAGGAATTGTTTTTCTTAATTATTTTATCCTATATTGATTGAATTTACGTCATTGTACGGTGACCCAATTAAGCATCAACCACGAGACATGGAAGTTCTGAATTGGATCCCTCAACGAGATTATGAGTTGGTGTTAGGGAGGAACCCCGAACTACGGAGAAACAGCTACCCAACGTTCCTTGATTTTTAGTAGTATTCCAACTGAGGCCAATCTGTGACAGATATAACCTACGAATTATTTTATTGATAAATTGAATATAACTTTAATAAAAATGATCCAGACTACGCATCATTTGATTTAACATTTTAGTTATTCGCTTTATTTACTCTTAGTGATCACATATTTCCCTAAGTTCCATAAACTCACTGCCCGTTTCTGTTACTATTCATTTAAAACTTATTTATTTAGTTCTATGGTCACAACTTATGGTAATAATATTCTAACAGATATAGGACTGTATTAGTAAAGTGATTTGCGTAGACCGTTGAATTTCATAGTTTACATCACAGATGTATACATACCATAAACATGGCTGCCTGCCTGAACATCTAGACTACCTGTTCATGCCATCTCGATATTTCAACAAGTTATGTAATTTTGTTCTTTTTAATACATGATTTTGGCTATTAACCGCGTATTCTATTCAGATGCGTTTCTGAAAAGTGTACAACCTTTCGTGCTGCAAGTTACAGAAGGCCCAATCAGAGATATCGTGGTTGCTGGCAATATACAGAATTCTATATTACATCAAAAATATAATATTGAATAAAGTTAATAATAAATACATAATTTTCACACCTCCATTAGTTGTCCTTTACATGCTTCACGATTCCTTCATTTCTGCTGTCATTAAAATTACTCCCTGTTTACATCTCTGTTCTCTTCAATTCGATCTTCATAATCTTCTACTGCAAGGTATTCCACTTCGGACTAGTATTACATACTACTGTTAACATAAGTAGCATACATCATATATATATATATACTCTTTTGCTAGGTTGTGATTATCCCCTATGACTTCAATGTTCAAATAATGTTTTATTCAACATTTTCAGTCGTGTTTCCGTTCATTTAGTGGGGAAAATAATTTTCACTAGAAATGACGTAATTTTCTCCATTATTTTCAATAATTTACGATATTTTATATAACTACAATATTGATCATTTTTGAACTTAAACAGCGATTCCTACATTCCAGCCCCCAGAAACTTTTCACTTTTGAAACCTGAACAGAAGTTAGGAACTGAAATGGAACAACTGTGTTCATATAATAACATCCATAAAATAAGCAAACTAAAAATGACAACAGCCAATTGGATAACCGAAAGGTTATTGAGGAAATGTGAGTCAGAAAAATGTTATCGATGTTATCTTTTGTAGAAAGAAACTGACATTTAGCAACAAGAAACTAATCAATACATGAGTACAAGTATATAACATTTCATGTCTAAGATTTCCAGATCTAACGCCAAACATAAAATCTTGAGATAATCATTAATATTCTCCAGTATGTAAACCTAAAGAACAGATGTAAAGTTTTTATTCCTATTGTGTATTAATTGTTTCCGTTGTCATGCTAAGTGTTTTCACCAGATACACCTGTCACTTATTACAACAACGTACAATTAATGAAGAAACAATCGTATTAATTACTGATTTGTGTTGTATCTGTAAAAATCTGTTTAATATACTAATCCACTCGAATATATCAGTGCACATCTGAAAATGTAAACCATTTACTTATATGTATATCTCCCTTTTAAAAAAAACTATTGTTACTTGTTTAGATTTCAATGGTATTCACAACGATACACCAAAAGAATATTCTCCATATAAATAAAGTGATGTACAAGGTTAAAAAATGTAATAAATAGTAACATCATGTACTTGTTAAAGTATACACTACACGGGTTAATTTATATATATCTATCCGTGTTCAGTTTGTTATAAATATTCGACAGTATATTTAACTTTCAAGGTGTAAGAAAGTATTGGTTTCTGGGTACAATGAATGTACTTTTCCATAAATATTGATTTAGTTGAATAGATATAGCTTAAAAATTATCATACTTTAGTGAATAATAAATTGAATAAATTTACAGAATCCGAAAAATGAATGAGATTGACAATGTGGTTCATTAACTTCTTAATTCTGTGATTGACCTTAAGATTTATAAGTAATGAGTTCGATGCTATGTCGAATCACTAGCGTCATAGTTTGGTTTCACACTCAATTATAAACAGTTAACTACTCTCATTAGCTCACATATACAAAAATATTCGAGTACATAATTCGGTGAGACTATAGCTTTTGGACAATCTTCGACAGATGCTAAATTAACCATAAGAATATTTACCTACTTACTAGAGTCATAAGAAAGTTATAAATTAGACTAAAGAATCATCATTAATTTCGATAGTGCAATAAGAAGACGAAGATTATCAAAACTATGTGATATATTAGTGCGATACATTTCGAACAATCTGAACACTTATCACACATACTTGTTACGAATATTTATAGATAAAAATAAAAAGTCAACCAAACTAGAAATTGAGGGGAAGAGGAGACAAGGTTAATGAAGAAAGTAATGTGGAAACAATTTAAAGCCTAATCACTCTCGATAATAAGCTGATATTACCAGGGTAGGTTTAAGGTGAGGACAAACTGTTTTTGAATACACAAAGGG